CACTTCGCAGTGGTCCTTTCTACTTGGAGGGCCTGGACCTCAGCCCTAAAGGTGAGAGTCAAGTACTACTATAGCCTCTTCTTCCTGGGGGACCCTGTTCTTCATCCAAACCTTTCATCACCCTTAGAGATTGTCCAGAAGGTCCGAAATGGTCAGCGACCATATTTCCGGCCAACCATTGACCGGACCCAACTGAATGAAGAGCTAGTTTTGTTGATGGAGCGATGTTGGGCCCAGGACCCAGCTGAGCGGCCAGATTTCGGACAGATCAAGGGCTTCATTCGCCGTTTTAACAAGTGAGAGGGCACTAGGGGGCAGGGGCTCCTGAGGGACAGAAACCTCATCAGACTTAGTGAATAAGGTGGGGCTGGTGGGGCCAAAGGGTGGATTGGATAGGAAGTCCTGAGGTTCTTAAGAATCTTGGATCGGCCAGGGATTTAGCTAAGTGGTTTCGCCGCCTGCTGCGCAAGCACAAGGACCCAAGTTTGATCCCTGGTACCAAAAAATAAAAAAGAATTTGTCACTAGCATATTTATAAAAAAAAAAGGGGGGGGGGTTGGGGATTTAGCTCAGTGGTTCCGCCACCTGCCCTGAGAACACAAGGACCCGAGTTCGATCCCTGGTACCAAAAAATAAAAAAACTAAAAAAAAAAAAAAAAAAAGAATCTTGGATTGCTGGCCACGGTGGCTGATGCCTATAATCCCAGAACTTGGGAGGCTGAGGCAGGAGGATCACCAAGAGTTCGAGGCCAGCCTGCATTACAAAGAGACCCTGTCTCCCCCCAAAAAAGGAATTTTAGAGTAGGTGCCATAACCTGGCTTCCATGCAGGGAGGGTGGCACCAGCATATTGGATAACCTCTTGCTGCGCATGGAACAGTATGCCAATAACCTGGAGAAGCTGGTGGAAGAACGCACACAGGCCTATCTGGAGGAGAAACGCAAGGCTGAGGCTCTGCTCTATCAAATTCTACCCCAGTGAGACGTTTGATCCTCTTTGTAAATTATCCTTTGGATTCAGCTCTGAATATCAGCTTCCTGAAAACTCACTTCCCAACCCTCGGAACCCTTGTTTATTCTGTATTGCCACAGTGAGCCCTTCTGACTATAGACTAAACACTTTCATTCTGTCTCCAAATGAGCTGTGCTCTTTCTGGCTTCTCATCCCTCCTCAGAACACCGTTCTACCTTGCCTTTGCTTTAACAAAAATATTCCCAGCTTGAGACCCTACATGCAGATCCCTTGCAAGCCCCCACCACTTGTACATCTTACCTTGCTCTACGTAACCTTTCAGCCACTTTGCTGCAGCCACCTACCCCTTTCCTCCCTGCCCCTCACAACCATCTTGGAGCTTGGCTCACACTGCACTCTTGCTTCTTAGTTCTGTGGCAGAGCAGTTAAAGCGGGGAGAGACTGTACAGGCGGAGGCCTTTGATAGTGTTACCATCTACTTCAGTGACATCGTTGGCTTCACAGCACTGTCAGCTGAGAGCACCCCTATGCAGGTGAGAGATGTGGGTGAGAGGTAGAGGGTGGGATAGGGACCTGGGAGCTTCACTGATAACAGGGAAGACTAGTTTGTTCCAGAGCTCCCATACATTGCTATGGCTCATGGATTGAGAATTCTGGGCCGGGGATTTAGCTCAGTGGTTTCGCCGCCTGCTGCGCAAGCACAAGGACCCAAGTTTGATCCCCGGTACCGAAAAAAAAAAAAATTTGAGAATTCTTAGTAAGTTGGGCAAGAATTTCAGGGCTTGTGCTTTCCCATCCTGTTAGGTGGTGACACTTCTTAATGACCTGTATACCTGCTTTGATGCCATAATTGACAACTTTGACGTCTATAAGGTGAGAGCTGGGTTGCCCTACTACCTTTAAAACCTATTTTCTGAAACTCCCCACACACCTTCCCCACTCCATGGTTAATTTTCCTCCAGGGTCTCCAGCATCCTACTGATGGTGGACACTGTGGATGGCTGTGGCTCCAGCATTACAAATGTATACTCTGGCCTATTTCCTTGTGGATCTTTAGGGTTCCCTAATCAGAACCATCACAAGCTTTACTTCTTATCTCCCTGGGGGTATACAGCTTATTCATTCTCTTCTCTAGACACAGAAGAATCATATAGGATGTAGGCACATATTGATTTAGTGGAGTGACGGCCAAGATATGGATAAAGGTTGCACTGCTTTCTGTTGAAGTCACTGCATTGGCAGAGAAATGGTTTTATTGTCCTTGAGAATAAAAATGAGCTGGATTTGAATACTGGCTTTGTAGTTGTGTGGCTCTGGGTAAGTAGTAGGATCTCTCTGGGTCTCAGTTGTTTTATCTTTAAGATGGAGACAACAGATTAGTGGTCAGATGTGGTGGTTCAAGCCTGTAATCTCAGCTACTCAGGAGGCTGAGGATCAAAAGCTTGAATGCATCCCAGGCAATTTAGTGATTAAGCAAGACCTTGTCTCAAAATAAGAAAGTAAAAAGGTCTGGAGATGTAGCTCAGTACAAAGGCTCTGAGTTTGATCCCCAGAACTGCAAAAAAAGGAAAAAAGGGCCAGGGTGGGGTGAAGGATGCTGGGAATGTAGCTCAGTGCTCCTTGGGTTGAATCTCCAGTACAAAAAAAAATTAGCTCTATGGTTATATGGAAAGTATCTAATATTGTGTATGGCACTTGGCAGATAATAAATATCTATTCCTGTCCCTTCCCTTTGGGCTTACTCTATCATCTCTGTTTCTATAACAAAAGAAATCTTATAAACCCTTTGCCCAGGTTCAATTGTTTTTATTTTCCTCTCTTTACTTTAAGAAACCTATTTATATGGGGCTAGGGATTTAGCTCAGTGGTTCTGCCGCCTGCCTTGCAAGCGCAAGGACCCGAGTTCGATTCAAAAAAAAAACAACAAAGAAAACCTATTTATAGGTGGGCACAGTGGCACACACCTATAATCTCAGTATTTTGGGTGGCCGAGGATATAAAGTTTAAACTAAGCTGGGGCAACTTATCAAGACACTATCAAAATAAAAAATAAAAAGAGCTAGATATGGTGGCTCATACCTGTAATCCCAGCACTCTGGGAAGCCAAGGCAGGAGGATTGCAAGTTCAAACTGAGCCTAGGCAACTTAGTGAGACCTTGTCTCAAAAAAAAAAAAAAAAAAAAAAGGCTGGAAATTAAAGCTCAGTGTGAAGGTCCTGAATTCAAGCCCCAGTACTGAAGGTGGGTGTGTGTGTGAAGAAACCTATTTATGTAATTATTTTTGAAACCATTTAAGTAAAATTTCAGATGTAGAATCCTTTCATCCTAAATACTTACTGTGTATATCCTACAAAATTAACTGTATATTTCATAAAAACAAGGACATTCTCTTACATAGTTTTGGTATAATTACCAAAGTCAAGTGCCTGCTTTATCACCCTCTGACAATCTGGGCTGTGTGGTCCATTTCATTGGGCCTGCTTTACTTCTTTGGCAGCCTCTGTGCTTTTCAGGTTGTGTTTTCTTGCTTCCTGTTTCCTGACAGCAGAGCCTGTTTATCCATGCCTTGTTGCAGATAGGGTGTCCACTCACTCAGCAAATGTTTACAGGTGCTGGGGTCAAGATGCCCTTGACTACTTTCTCTCAGATTCGCAGGACCAACTGACCAAGGCAATTGTTTCCTAGTCAGTTTTCTGGACTCCCAGGCTGTCAGGATGACTCCTAGTGATGTCCAGCTTGTTTCCCTGTACCCTTCCTCATTCCCACTGATACAGAGAGAGGTGACCTTTTTAATCCTCTTCTCAATCAGGTGGAGACAATTGGGGATGCATACATGGTGGTGTCTGGCCTCCCGGGCCGAAATGGTCAACGCCATGCACCAGAAATTGCTCGGATGGCCCTAGCATTACTAGATGCAGTTTCTTCCTTCCGCATCCGCCACCGACCTCATGACCAGCTAAGGCTACGCATAGGGGTCCACACTGGTAAGGCTGACTCTCACCTAGCCCTGGGCTCCACCTTTCCCGGGCTCTCCCAACCTGTTTCTTTTATTAGGGCCAGTCTGTGCTGGGGTTGTTGGCCTGAAGATGCCCCGCTATTGTCTTTTTGGAGACACAGTGAACACTGCTTCTCGAATGGAATCTAACGGTCAAGGTAAGACATTAGCCTTCAACTACAGCTTCGGCCTCAGTCTATTTTGCTCCTTTCTTTTCAGAGTTCCTCCAAATCTTTCAATCTAAGAAACCACAAGTTCCTAAGTTCCCTATACCCTGGGCACAATTTGACTCTAGGGAATGTGTTGGGAAGACAGGGAGCCTCTTGGTTGGGTAAGGTGCTTTCCAGTACTATCAATTCTTCTATTGCCTTTTCTCTGACTCTTCTTTCTACCATTCCCCCTTGCCACCCTAGCCTTGAAGATCCATGTCTCCTCTACCACCAAGGATGCGCTGGATGAGCTGGGATGCTTCCAGCTAGAGCTTCGGGGAGATGTGGAGATGAAGGTGAAGGCAGGCCATGGGGAAGAAGGGGAGGATGGAAGTGAAAGAGGGAGATAAAGGGACTAATACTAAAGAATTTGACCTATGTTCACTCCCATGCTTCCAGGGAAAAGGAAAGATGCGAACTTACTGGCTCCTAGGAGAGCGGAAGGGACTTCCTGGACTCCTGTAAACCCCACTTCATCCCAAGTCAGACAATCCCTTGCTGCTGGTACCTGGATGACAGTAGCTACCATCTCTCCACATACCAAAAACAGACATTGCCTCTTGAGGTGGAAAATGTGCACAAATAGCCTATTAATATAGAAATTGAAGCCCTCTGCATCTCAGCTTTGTACATATACCTGTCCTTTTCTTACTTGGTTCTCTTCCTCCCTACCTTCTGTAAATATCTGTATCTAAACCAGAATATTTTGGCCAAGTATAAAACAACAACAACAACAAGTCATGGTGTCATAGTCTGGGTAGGGCAACCTCAAGGAAAGGTTATGGGTTATGGACACAGTGACTCACAGAATCAATGAATTAGTAGTCTTGGGACAAGGGAGAACCATTTATGTAAATCCCTTTCATCAAGTACAGAGAATATTAACTTCCTCTCCACCCACTTCTCTAGTACAAACAGAAATAGGTTCCAAATTCCATACCCTACTTTGTTCCTCAACCCTTAGATAGGAGCCATTCTCCCTCATCAATACCCCTGCCCTCTTCCCTGACAGGCAAGGGAAGATATTTCACCCATCTGGTGGGGGTAACTCTCAGGTTCATAAGGCAAAGGCTGTCCCAGAGACAAGGGCACTGGTGTTGAGAAGCTGCAGTTCTTCCGGAATGGTGTGTCCAGTGTCCTGATGTAACTGACACCCTGGAGAAGTGCCACGATGAGGACAGATCTCACCCTCTCAAGCCACAACAGTGCAGCCTCTGGCCTGCTTTCTCCCCCACCTCTAATACCTAGTCTACCCTCACATACTGGTAGCTGTGGTGCCCTTTGTATCCAGAAGGTTTCAGGCTGCTCCTGACGGTAGTCATGAGACTGTTAGAGAGAGATATTGAGTAACTACTGCACTTTGGCCCTCATTCACAACTTCTGGGCTTGCCCACCTGCTGCAGCCCAACTGAACAAGTGGGGTGGGATGGCTTCTCACCTTTGTTGGGGCAGGAGGCCCTACTCCCATCAGCTCCATTTGGTAGTCATGATGCGTTACTGACTCGACTTCAAAGAGCTTCCTTGGAGGTTCCTGCTCTGCCTGCACCTCTTTACTGTGCAGTCCTGGGGGCTGTCAAGGCCATTCTCCCAAGTTTTCTCCCCCGCCCCTTCCCCTTTGCCCAGTATCTCACCAGATCTGGTGGTATAGGAGCATCTCCAGCATGGCTTCACGCTTCCCTGTGGGAGGGCAGAGTGGGGGTCTGGTTAAGAAGCAGATTTGAGAAAACGAAGGGAAATCTTGGGATTTTTTTTTTTATATCCATCAAACAATCCACAGTCCCACTGAAACTCCTTCCTCTCTTTTTTCTCTCCTTGATGGACTCATTCTGGCTTGTTCTCTTACGCTTCATACCTCGAAGAGGCTGATGGAAGTTTCTTGGAGGCTGGTATGAGTCTTTCTGGGTGGTGGTGGAGAGCACAGGTGACTGTAATATGGTCAGCAGTCCCTGGTGCCCATGTCGGAAGAAGAAACTCTCAGAGCCATCTTTCGAGCATGGGACTTGATCCAGGTGATTGGTGGCTCTCTGTGGGCCAAGTTGAGTGATTATAATATTCCTTCTCACCACCCTCATCCTTACCACAAACTATTTGCTTCCCTAGGAAAGTGGGATCTGCCTTCAAGAAAAGGAGAAAGCCATATACCTCTTCCTGCCAGTTGTAGAGAAGGCACTGGCCCCGTGGTAATGGTCCATAGTGAATCTTAGGCTTCCCTTCAACCTCTTGGGGCTTCCACAGCCCTCGGGTAGCAGGTTCTGAGACTTGCAAAAATTCCCAGGCTGGTTGTTTCTGAGGCTTCCAGTGACAGTGGGGACTCCAGGAGGTATTATCAGGGAGCAGATCTGACCTGAGATTTCTGAACCTTTGAGGAGTGCTGGGGCTAACCTCAGGGCCAAAACCTGGGCCAGTTCCAGAGGCAGGACAGGACCCTTGACCAGAACCATGGCCAGGACCTAAGCCAGACCCAGGGGCAAACCCATGGACAGGACCAGAGCTGGAGGTAGGAGCAGGGCCAGGGCTTGAGCCAAGGTCATTTGTAGTAATGGGATCCTGAGCAATACAGGAAACATAAGCAGGCTCAAAGTCATGGCTCCCAGGGGCTGTCTGGTGGGATTCAGCACAGGCTGTCCCAAGATTGTCAGAGGAGGGCTCTGTGAACCCAGAATAGGGCTCTAGGGTCTTTGAACATAATGCAGCTGCTTTGGCGGTGGAAGCGCCTGCACTGGCTGCAGCTGCTGCAGTTGCAGCTGTCAGGGCAGACCTAGAACCACCATCTGAAGAAGGAAACGGTTCCGAGGTAGTCGTTAGTCCTTCGGAGCTGGGCTGTAGGTCTAAAGCTCTGAAAGAAAACGAATGCGTCAAGGCCGGCAAAAGAGCAGCTGGAAGTCCGCTGACCTTCCTGTCCCTTTACGCCTGCAGCCAGAGCTGCGGCTCTCACCGCGACCGCGATCCTTGAGTAGACTCATGGGTCTCCATCTTCAGTCTCCCGCTACCAGGTTGCCGTAGAGACGGTAATAATTCCAGGAGCCTGCGCAGAACTAAAGCTGGGCGTGTGTAAAAGATGGCGTGGAGGCAAGCCGTCTGCGGGGCGGAAGTCTTAAACCTGGTGCTCCCCGGGAGTCCGCTTTCCGGCCCGGACTCCATTCCGCCTCGGCCGGAGTTTTAAGGTTCCGCCGGCTTGAGGCCTCACCCTCCAGGCTAGAGCGTGACTCTTTGCAATTAAGGTGACTCTATGGGGACGTGTTAGAGATAAGCACCGGGCTGTAGCATCACACAAAAACTTATTTGATATGTTTGTGGGCGGGCAACCGTAGCTTCCCCTTAGTATGCTTAGTTCACTTTCAAAAGTTGGGGATGGGGAATCTAAATGTTTGGTTTTTGTTTTTAACACGAAACAGCTAAAGAACAAAATGGGGAGGGGTTTAGTTCAGTGGCATCGTGCCTATCTTGAAAGTGCAAGGTCCTGAGTTTAAAACCCAGTACAAAAAGGGGGGGGGGACGTGGAGTGTCTTATAGGTAGTAGCTTTTGTGTGTGTATGTGTGATTACTTATCCAACTGAAGGCTCTTATATTGACTACCCTTCTCCTAATAACCTGTAGGACCTGATTTGGCTTCCGAGTAAGAGCCAGGATGGAGCATCTCTCACTTACACCTGGGTTTCAGTCTTTTTCTCCTCCTTCAGTTTCATTCCTATTGCCACTTTTGTATAATCGTGACCCAAGACACACCACTTGTCACGTGGCAGATCAATAAGGGAGAACTGCATTTGCCCTGTTTGACATCATTTGATTGCTTTAACCATCAATGGACCTATTCCGTATCTCTCACTCTGGATTGTTTTTTCTTTTTGTTTTTGCATGGTACTGGAGACTAAACCTAGGGCCTTCACAGTGAGCTACATCCCCAGCCCTTTTTATATATTTTTGAAACTGGATCTTCCTTAAGTTGCTAAGTTGCCCAGGATGGGCTCAAATTTGGGATCCTACTGCCCCAGCCTCTCAGGCTCTGACCACTGCCAAGGGAAATCATGGCCCCAAATTGGGTTTCTTTCCTTTTGTGGTATAAATCTTTTGAATATTTAAGACAGGGATGTAAAATTGAGGGAGAATAGATTTATTAGCATCACAGGGTCCCTTCCCCATCCAAGCATTCAGGTCTGGGGGTCCTTGATCAGTTGGCAGGTTCAACCTGGAGGCCACTGGAGTTGTCGGCCTCCAAGTACGTGAATGTGCAGGTGATAAACGGATTGTGCGCCCAGCTTTCCATCATTGATCACTGAAATGGAGGTTGAGGTTAGGGGCCAGGATCATGGGAGGGGTCAAAGAATGAAGATCTTATTGAAGAGTCAGAATTCACAGGTGAGGGGTCCAAGAGCCCAAGTGACTCACCAAGTCGGTATCCATCTCTCAGACCCTCAGTCTTTGCTATCTTCTTGGCCACAAGGAGGAGGTGTCCTAGAAGCTATAGGGAGAGGGGAGGGACATAGGTAGCTTCATTCATAGGGAGCAAAACCTCTAGCTTACTCCATGGTTCTTCCCAGGCCAACCCTGGCCCTGATCTCCCCACCTGCTGGTCTTCTTCCTCAGCCTGGGTAATTCGAGGAATGGGCTTCTTAGGAATAACCAGGAAATGCACAGGAGCCTGTGGGGCCACATCACGGAACACGAGACACTGGGAGCAGTGACAGGCCAGAGACCATCATGTTATTTCATCAGGCCAGAAAGTATTTATGAAATTCCTAAGGGGGCTGGGGCCTAAGGGGACCCCACCTGCTGGTCCTCATATAGAATATCAGCTGGGAGGCTCCTGTCCAGGATCCGGGAGAAGACAGTTGGGGCTGCTCCTCTAGGGGCTACCTGCTGGGCCTTGGCCACTTCATTCCCATCAGTCATACTTGCAGCTCCTCGGACCTGAAGATGGGTCAAACACACCAAAAGGGAGGAGCTGGCAGTCTCTCTCTGTGTACTTAGTTGGGGCTGGGCTCTGACAGTTATTAACTTTATCCTAAGAATATATTAGTGATTCCCACCCAAGGGAAAAGTTCCTGAATTTCACTCATTGCATCAGCAGCAGAGGGTCAGGCAGACGGTACTGGGTCTGTTTGGATAAAGACAGTGTTACTATGCAGGATTCATGTGTGCAGTTGATTCCTGCTAATGTGTCTATGAAATTTAGCACTGTTTAGGGAAAAGGATCTAGAATGGGTATCTCAAGATTTAGGTCTCAGTTCCAATTCTACCACCAAATTACCTCAAATAAACCCTTTTTTCAGCTTCGAAAATAAAGGGGTAGTTTGCATTGTCTATTAGGCCAGTTTCAAGCTCTCCCTGTACATTCTACCTTGTCTGTTTTCACTTATTTATATTCCTTTTTTTTTCTTTCAGTACCAGGGATCAAACTTGGGACCTTGCACTTTGGAGGCAGGCATAGGAACCACTGTGCTAAATCCCCGGCCCATTCTTTGCTTTTTGATCTTTTAAGTCTTATTTGTTTTATTTAGATTTTAATTCATTTGCACTGTTTGACATCAATTGATCCCTCATCTGGGTCGTGTCTGATCTCTTCCTGTGGATTTTAAATCTAGAAACTTGAATCAGTGGCGTTGTATTTCAGCTAAAAGCACTCAGCGCCCCAGCCTGAGGGGATTGGAGGTAGGTTTCCCTTGAACTCAGAGAAGGCTGAAGTCAGTGCGTCACATTCAGGAAGAAAGGATGGAATGAATTTAGATTTCTCTGACTCCCAGGTCGTTTCTGGAAAGTGGTGAGGATCAAAAATTAACAGTGGTGCTTATTAAGAGGCCAGAGGCCCGAGGCCCGAGGCGGGCAGAGAACTGGCTATGAGAATAGAAAGCTCACTATCTGCAGGTAGCACTGGGACTGCCCAAAGCTTCACCAAGGGGGAGCTTCAGCAAGCGGGAGCCGCTGCCGCTGCCCCAACCCTGACCTGACCTCGGCGCCCAGGCCTGTGCAGAATTGGCGATCATGGCTAGTTCACTTCTCCCGTCGCGACCAGTCCGATCTCACCGCACAGTCCCACAGCTGGATGCTCTGAGAGGGGCAGTGGCTCGGAGAGGCTGCTGAGTTGCGCGCGCCTTGGGGAACCGGAAGGAGTGTTGTCCTCCGCCTCTGAGGGCGTCAGGGCTTGCGGGACCCGGTCGTCGCCCCCGCGGCCATTCTCACCTGCGACCCCCGCACTCCCGCGGCTGCCAAGGCTCTGCGCGCCGCGCTCAAACGGGCGGCCAGCACCATTGCCGCAGCCATTTTCCTGGGCTGCAGGAACCGCTCACCAGGCCAGCTCAGCTCAGCGGCCTGCGGGAGGTGGGCTATTAGGTAGCTGGGGAGCGGTGGCCATTGGGCCGCCTGGACGGACCCTATCATCCCATTGGAGCACGCTCCTGGGCACTATTCGTCCCATTGGGTCCGTTGCCACCTCAGAGGCGGAATCTTTTCATCCCATTGGCTGCTTCTGCCAACGCAGTTTCAATTTCCTACTCCATCGGCTTTGTCTTCCAGTCAGTGTGAAAGTCGGTTTTCCACGGAATTCCCTAGATAGTTTCGCTGTGAAATAAATGTTCACAATTAAGAAACCCGGAAGTGGTATTTTCTTCCAGTTGGCTCTGATCCATAACCTTCGCTTCAAGATGAGATTCCTGAGTGGGGGGGCTCTGTTGTTCTGGGCTCTTCCTTTACAGCTCCGGCCCCCACTTGGGGGCTAGAGGAGGAGGCCAGGGTCCCCTCACCTGTGTTTTAAACCCTTTCATTGCATTGGCCAGGAGGGCACGGTTCTGAGGGCATTCGGCGCTTATTGGCTCCAGGGGCCTCTTGGGCGGGTCTAAAGGGGCACAGGGACCTGATCTCTTTTTTCCATTGGTGCAATCTAGACCCAACATTTTCTCCTCAAGGGCAGTTTCAGACTCTTGACCATCTCAAAGATTGTAAAGGGCAACTCCTCCTTAATTTTATGCTTTAACACATTCACTCTGTAGATTAAACATCATGCAATTTTCGGGATCGTTTTGCATTTTTAAAAATCGGGCAAGGATGTGAGAGTCCTATCTTTGCTGCACTTGTAATAAGGGAAAGGAAGTAGGTATCCAGTGTTCTTTTCAGAAAAAGTGATGTGATATGGCATTTTCAATGAGCCAAGTTTGCTCCGCTGGAATTTTTCTTTTCTTTGGTACTGGGGATCGAACTTGGGTTTTTGCACTTGTGCAACAGGCGGCGAAACTACTGAGCTAAATCCCTGGCCCTGGAATTTTTCTTTTGGACATATAAAACCATTAGTGTTGTCACAAAGGTACTAAGACCAGGTAAGTTTTAGTTTGATCCTTAACATATAGGATAATTTACCACTGTATCTTTAGTATTTTTTTTTCTTTGTTCTGGGAATTGAACCCAGGGCCTTCTCAATGAGCTACATCCTCAGCCCCTTCCCCCCTTTTTTTGAGACAGGGTCTCGCTATGAAGCCCAGGCTGGCCTTGAACTCCCAATAATCCTCCTGCCTCTGCCTCCTGAGTGCTGAGATTACAGACATGTGTCACCATGCCCAGCTTCCCAGCCCTTTTCTAATTTTTATTTCATGACAGGTTCTCACTAAGTCACTAAAAATTGCCCAGGTTGGGCTTGAAGTTGCACTCCTGCCTCAGCCTCCGTATATTGCTGAGGTTACAGGCATATGCCACCATGCCTGGCTAGTTTTGTTTTTTAAATACAGTTTTTAAACACATGGCCTGATACATATAGATGCCCAATAATTGTTGAACGAATAACACTTGGTGTTTTATTTCCTTTCATAATATAAAATGACATGTATGGCATATTTATTATTCTCCCACTTATAATCAGTTTCTCATTAGCACACAGTCTATGTAAATATACTTTGTAATGGCTGCATACTATTTCCTTGAATGGATTTATCTGAGTAACTTTTCCTCTATTGTTGACTATTAATTGATTTAAGTGGATGTTATCATGGTACACATAATCAATGTTGAGAAACTTTAGTTAGTAAATCCTTGTTATGTAGCTATATTATTGTTAGAAAGTCCTTTCTTCTCCAAAGAGCGGTAGATGTTTGATCCTGTGATTTTTCCCTAGGGTCCCAGCAGTCCAAGCTGCTCCCTCCTTTGGAAGACAGATGCCCTCTCTAAATGTAAGTGAATGTAGAATGGTCTCTTCTCTGTGCCTCTGGGTCACTGGGAGACCCTAGAGCTGCCCTGGAAAAGGGCAGGGGATGGGGCAGGTGGGTTCTAGAAGAGGAACGACAACAGGAGGGATTTTGAGTACAAAGCACTTTGAAACGGTTATTTCTTTGGAGCCTCATAGAGACCAGGCAACATAGGTTATTCCTGTTTAACAGATCCAGAAACTGAGGCCCACAGAGGGAGAGTTCTTCCCTAGAGTCACAGGACTCTTCTAGTTCCATTAAGCATTGGCTATGGACTTCCTTACCTCTCTCTCACAGGCACTGATTCTGATCCGAGGCTCACAGTCTTCTCTAGTCCAGTGGCTGCTCTCATCTGGAAGCTGCACAGGCTTTGACTACCCTCTCTCTGTTACCACAACTGCTACTGGGGCTCATTAGAGACTATTATTCCTTTGACTGGTCCTTTTTTTCATCTGTCATTTGCTTTCTGGCATCATTTTCTTTTCCTATTTGTATTGCCCATTCTCTTCATATCTTCATGCCTACTTCTTTTGCCTTATTTTCCTAATTATCTTGCGTGACACCCTCCCATCACCACCTGTTAATTTAAATTTTTTGCTTTTCTTCTCAACTGGTTCTCACTTCTAATTGTATCCTAAACTACTAAGAACTTTCTCAAAGTCCCTATATTAACCATCCCCAAACTTTACCTTTCTCTTCCTGTCTCCTATTTCCCACTCTTACTCCTTCACAGGGGAACTTTCACAATTTCCTGTTCCCCGAAGCTCAGTAAAGAAAGCCGAACTTTCTTCTTGATTTTAGGAAATAATTTTCCCACTAGTCCCCTCACTCGCCTCTCCTCCTTTCCTCTTCCCTTCCCTTCTCACTTCTCCTCTCTTTAACAGGGTCTTGTTCAGTTGCCCAGGCAGGCCTTGAACCTGTGATCCTTCCGCTTCAGCCTTCTGAGTAGCTGGGATTATAGGTCAAAGGCACTGCACCCAGCTGTGATGTTTCCTTTGTTCAGAGCGAATCCCTTCACCTCTGTCTTGACCTCATACCCTCCCTCTGGGATCTTCTGACCCAGGATTTCTCCTTTCTCTTCTGCATCTTTCAAGGTCTTTTTGTCTACTGGTCTCTTCCCCCTTCCTTCCTAAAAAAATACTTCCTTGATTCCACATTTCTCTCTAGATATTTGCTGACTTCTCTCCTGCACCTTTCACCTAAGCTTCTTGCAGACACTCCACACTCACTGCCGCTTGGCTTCTGCTTCCACTGTACCAGTGTGAAACTGCACTCTCGAAGGTTCCCAAAGACTTTCTAATTGCAAAATCCAATGGGCACTTTTCCATCTTTAACTTATAGAAGTCCCAGCTACACCAAAATAACTTCTCACTCTCTTTGTAATTCCTTCCCTCCTTGGCTTTCTTAAAGCCATTCTATTTCTCATGTCAGAGCTAGCAGCTTAAATGTGGGTGTGATGGAGACAGATGCTGGATCCAGGCTTCATCCTGCTTGGCTGTGCTGTCTCGCCCCCAGTAAGTGCTGACTCTAAGATCTTACAGTTGAGTTGTGGCTTTTCCTGCCACATAAAGAGCCAGGTCATATTCTAATGACTTTCACTTTATTGCTGATGTGGCCAGGCTCAGAAAGGCCTGTGCCAGTTGTGGACAGTGTGTGTCCCTGGAGGAAGGAAGAACAGAGGTGAATGGGTCAGGTATGTGGGTCACATTTGGAGCTAGGCTGAATGTCTCATGGGTCAGGAAGTGCAGGGGGACTAGGGTTGGAACTAGAATGAGTAGAGGGCCCCTGCATCTGGAGGGCCTCAAACTTAGTGTTGATGATGGCTTCTTGAAGGACCAGCATCTCAGCAAAAGGCTCCTAGTCTGCTCCTGGGGGTGGAAATCAGTGTAGGAAAGGGATGTGGAGGATGGAATAAGGGGAATGCAGGAGTGTTGGAGGAGATGGTTGAGGTGGAGTGCCTTTCTGCCTGGCCTTCTGACTATAGATGACAGGCTGGCCCTTGTCCCAGGTTGCTCTCTCACCATGAGGCCTCCCTCCTCCTCGTCGGGTCTCCTCAGTCTCAAAGAAAGCCTCATGTTCCTCCCAGCATCGGTCACAGGCTGCACAGAGGAAATTAGATTCAAAACAGTTGCAAGAACAGCCTGAAGTAAAAGGACAGCTAAGAAGAATAGAGGGAATTGAGGCATCCCTATGGAAACTGACTGCTTTCTCATCTCTTCCTTACCTGCCACATACCCAAGTGTTTCTCCTTTCAGCCCCCATCTTTGTCCCGTCTGCATCCTGTATTCCTCTTCTTCCCACCCCAAAACTCTTCTTGCACTAGAAGTTACCATGATGCCTGCAAGGATGGGCTCCATTGGCTGTGTGGTCTTCATGGCTGTGTTTGCAACGACATTGGGCCCTCCAGGCCTTGGGGTTGAAGGTGGCCCGTCTCCGGAGCAAGACATCACCCACCTCCTCTGGGCGTGACGGGATAAAGCAGAATATGAGGCAGTGGCACTGGCTTGCAGTGCAGGGCACAGATATGTCTATGGGAATGGGGACGGGTGGTAGGGTTTGACCAGAACCTCGTAGCATTTGGTCTTTCCCACTCTATCCCCTACCAATATACCTCTTCCACCATACATCTCAAGACACAACAGAGTACAGCTGTAACTCCACACTAGAGAGGCTGGTCACATCTCCCATACCTGAGATGATCTGGTGTTGTTTCAGCAAGTGTCCACAGAAGCACTTGGACTCGTCCCCAATCCGGTAACAGTCCCATAGGTAATGTGGACAGTGCCAGCCGATATAGAGACCTAGGTGCAGAAGATTGAATATGCAGGGAAAAATAAGCAAGAGAAAAATTCTAAGCTCCTCTCAGGTGTTTTGACCTATCTGCTGGGGGGACACTCACCTCTACCCCCACGTATATTTATCTCTACCCGCAGTCCTCACCTCTACCTCTTAAGACTTTTTTCCTCATGGTTTTATCATCCCCTAACTTTAGCTTCCTTCCTGTCCCAGGATCCACTCCATCTCTGCCAGCCCATCAGAGATAACTAAAGATAGTGTTCAGTTTCTGAGCAGGAAGATTATAAGTGAAATATTGTTTGAAGGTGCACGTGATTCTCACTAAGTTTTATGTGACCACGTGGTTTCTCATTTTCTTCCCTCTCCAGAGGAGAGTGTCTAAAGTGAGGGAGAGGGAAGCAGCTTGGCCAGGTGTACGGCAGATAAGGGTAGTGGCTCCTAAGGAGAATGGTTAGTGAAGGATTTCCTCCTGAAAATGGTGACAATGTTGGGAAGCCCTGGTGCCAAGAGGCAGGAGGAGTGCTTCTCCTCACTTCTCTAGATTGGCACATTCATATATCTCCTCTGTGTTCCTAGTGTTATGGAATAAATGCCCTCTATGAACCCAAGAAGGGCTGCCTATGGCTCTCCGAAAGTCAGAAGAAGGGGGTCAGGTCAGAAGTCATAACTACTTGAGACTTGAAAATATTAGTTGTGAGGCTAAGAAAGGAGGCAAGGGAAAGGGAGTGAGGTGAAGTATTTCTTCTTCTTTTTTGGTACCAGGGATTGAACTCATGACCTTGCGTTTGCAAGGCAGGTACAGTGCCACTGAGGTAAATCTCCAGCCCTTGAGGTTAAGTATTTGTGAATGCAGGCCTCAGAAGGAGGTTAGAACTCTTGAGAGCCTGGTTTTAGTAGTGGGGTCTGAAACTGTCCAGTTTTGTGGCCAGTCTCTCCATGAGGTAAGGGTGGTACTATGTACATGTGCCAGGAGAACAAGATCATCTCCTTCTCAGATTTTCTCATTCTCTGTGATAGCAGAGAATATCCCAACTTCTATCCAAGAATCCTACTTCTATCTCCTTTTTTTTGTTACTGGGGATCGAACTTGGGACCTTGCACTTGCGAGGCAGGTAGTGGAACCACTGAGCTAAATCCCCTGCAAGAATCCTACTTGATTTCCCATACAGTGGGACTTGTAGTTGCAGGACTCTTATTGCCATTTGAAATCTCAACTGGGACTCACCTCTTTCCCCTGTCTGCTAGGCCCCTTCTCTTTCCTTCCGCACCTCCTTGTGCTACTCCTGTCACACTCAATGCAATGTAATGGACTGTTCACTTGTATTCCTATTAGTCTAGGAGCTCCTCAGGAAACATTTATATTTCATCCATATCTCTAATCGCAGCACAGGGCCTGGCACAAACAGATGTTAAGAGAACATAGACTGCCTGACTGAATAAGTGAGAAAATTCCTTCATGAGAGAAGAGAGACCCAACATTCCAAGCATAAACCTGAAGTCCCATAGGAGAATGAGAAAGAATTGGCACGATCTGGTTTTTAACTCTGGCCAGGGTCACAATTCACAATTCTGTGCCTCAGGCCAAGTATTCTTGTCTTACCCATAGTTTTTCAGGATCTAAATCCTATTCAGATGTGACTTTTGGCTTGGCTGCTTTGATAGTGAGCCTGACAGCTTGTAGTACCAGTGCTCTAGTATACCAGGGAGCCTTGGATGAGAGCACAGAGTATAGGCAGAGTCACAATGGGGGTGGTGGGAGCCAGGATTCCACTAGAGGAATTCTAAACTCTCTCTAGAATAGCAGGACACAATGGATAAGCAGGGGAGGTACAGAGATGAACAAGAGTTTATGCCCATAGGTCAAGTCTAAGCACTAGTATAGGAATTAGTGTCCAGTGTTTAGACAGAGTTTGAATAGGAAGACTGGAACTAGACCTTGGATTCTATTCTATTATTCTATTCAGTGCTTTTTAGGAAGGAGAATTGGCATCTGGCTGTACATTCCATTTTCTGTCCTGATTCCAAGCCCCCTTTCTGTTTTGAGTGGGTGGACAAAGACCAGTGGGGGAAGACATTATCTGGGCCACCATTCTGACTGTATAATGCAGTCCAATTCCATGCCTGCACAATCATACTTATATGATAACATCTCTTTATATCTAGATGTCTCCATACAACTTGTAGCTGTCTTTACAGGAAGGATGTCTCTATCCCAGACCTCTCTCTGGAGCTTCAGGCCCATTCAGCCAGCTGTCTACCAGCCTCTTTCATGAGCATGTTCCAAAAGCACTTCTACTGTGTGATATCGAGCTTTCTCTCCAAACTCAGTCCTCATCCATGGCCCTCTGTTCACACATTTATCTAGCATCTACCCTATTTTAGGCACCATCATCCAATCAGCTATTAAAACTAAAAACTTAGGTGTCAATACAGACATTTTCCATTCTTATTAAGCACATCCAACAACCCAATAATCAATTTTACCTTGTTAGCATTTTGTGAATCTGTACTTTTCTCTTCCTACCTACTTCTTACCTAATTACCAGGCCTATTGGTGTAGTCTTCCTGTCTCCAACCTTGGCTTTCTCCAGTCTATTCTATTGCCAGAGTGATCTTCCAAACACACAGATCTGCTTATATTACTGTCCTATTTAAAATCTTTTAGTGATTCTCAGTTGTTTTCAGGATATAATTGCACAGATATGCCTCACAATTATTCCCTTCCAGAGCTGAGCTGGGACACTCCCCCTCAATTACTCTATGCATCAGGCATAATGCACTGCTACAGTGTCGTAAGATATCCTGTTTTGTCATTCTCACCTTACTCTACTCAGAGTTGGCCACCTCTTCTTACCATCTTACAGATATCAGCTGAGCAATCTTTCCTCCTAAGGCTTATTCTGTTAGCATCCAAGATTCGGTGCTCCCTTTCTCTGCTCCTGCAGCACTCTGGCTATAACAATTATTGAAGTGAATTGTAATTGTCCTTTTACTTCTTGGTGCTGTTCATTGGAGTGCAAATTACTTGAGGGATTTTGTCTTTGAAACCTTACCAGCCCTACAACTTCTATAACTAGCTCAAAGACAGCATACAATAAATGTTCGTTGAAAGAATTTTTTAAAGAGCTTACATTTGACATTTCTCTACACATCATATATACTGTTGTGAAGTCTTGACTTTCCAAGGACTCAAGATTCCTCAACATTAGAAGGGGACCCCAAATATCTTTGTTCAGATTGAATGACACTTAAATTTTGTACAAACTCCATATTTAACCAGGAAAATGAAGACCTGAAAATCAAAGAAGAAGGAATGCAATGGTGTTGAAGAATAGGGAATAAATAAGTGTCTAAGAAAAGAAATGGTGGACTAAACAGACCCTACATTTGCAAGAAAATAACCAAGAATAACAGAAGATGTTAAAATAAGCAAAAAAGCCATTTCAATGCCTGAATTAAACAGAGAAACAAATGAGATAATTGTGAATTTCTTGGGCAGAGGTGGAAGGTCCCTGAATGGGAATAGGGAAAGCAAATTACACAGAAGCGGGGAAAGGATATGGAATCACCAGGTTATCCTTTTGACACAGCTCTGTTCCCATGATAAGGGGAAAAGGAAGTATGAAAGACCAAAATAAACAGAGTGACATCAATCCATCTGGATATCCCAGAATCCTTGTAGCAGTTCAGGGTGGCCTTCTTACTGAGGTTAGTAATCCCTGTAGATAGGAAGTTCAGTAACACAGGTAGACATGTTTGCATACAGGATGACACTGTTGACACAGCTCATCTGCCCAACAGAAATACAGACAGAAATACAGCATGCCACTAACAGGACTATCTGGGCTGAAACTTAGACCCAATGGGCCTAGATAACATAGCTCTTCTTTTTAGTGGGAAGACTCAAAACTTTTGAGTACCTAGGTGATCATGGATCTGGCATGCAGGGGTGACAGGCTTTAATGGAATCCTACCAAAGGAGACAAGGCCTTTGGCCATATCCAAACAAGAAGTCTCCTGCAGACTTTCCAGGATCCTGGGCCACCTCTGCCTTAGGATCTGCCTGGTACAGGCTATTTGGGGCCTAGATTTGGGGATGGCCTCTGGCTCTTCTCTTTTTAACAAATTTTTGTGCAGCCACCTGCCCCTACTTGGGCTTTATATGACTATCCCCTTTTGGTCAGACCCATCCTGATATTTTGGGGCCTGCCTCCTTGCTCCCCTTCCAGATTTTAGCCAGGTGGCACAGTTATTTCCACAAGGGATAACTATTCATTGAACAGGCAGTTTCCAAGATCCTGTTGGTTTAGATGACGTCCATTGGCCTGTTACAGGAATCCATCTGAAATGCCATCTGGGCTCACCTGTCTGAATGGCATTCAGGGCTGAATCCTTCTCCCACTGGAAAAGATGATTCATCTGAGCACCAAACTGTTCTCTGTGCATTGCCTTAGCCATCTCCACCAGCTCTGCTTGCTTAGCAGGGACCACTGAGTGGCCTGTGCAACCTAGGAAGTAACCAAGGAGGGATGTGAAGAGGCTCTAAAACTAAGACAAAGGGCCAGGTGTGGTGGTGCACACCTGTAATCCCAGAACTCAGGAGGCTGAGGTAGGAGGATTGCTGTAAATTGGAGGCCAGCCTGAGTTCAAGGCGAGCCTGAACTACATGGTGAGACCCTGACTCCAAAAACCCAAACCAAACCAAAACACACACACACAAACCCCCCCAAACAAAACAAACAACAAAGAAACCAATCCCCCAAAAGCCCCCAAACAAACAAAAAACAAAAGACCTAAGAGAAATGGACATGTCTAAGAATAACCCAGCTCCCTCCTCCTGGGCCAAAGACAATAGATAGTGATGAGTACAGGGAAAAGGGCAAGAGTAATTACAGATAATTCCATTCTTCCTCTTCTTCTTGCCCAGCTGGTGTCCAGGCTGGGTTGTGTGAGCAGTGATGTCACTGCTGGTATCCACTATGTCCTTGTGTTCTCCTGCCTCTTCCTTCTGTTTTGCAGATGTGTCCAAGTATACATGGGTTGAAGAGCCTGAAAGGAAGTGCTTTGGAAGGTGCTCAAATTCAGGGAGCTCCTTGGAAGAAGACTCAGACAGGAGGTCTTCTTTCAAATTGTCAGAAGGAGATGCAGAAGCACGGGTTACTAATGAGGGCAGAAAAATAAGGTTTTTCTCTGGGACGTTACAGATGTCAGTCTCAGCGGTAGGGGCTTCCAAAGGGATGTCAGAGATGGATGTTATGGGGATGGAAGGCTTCAAAGGGCTTTCAGAGGCTTGGGGTACTAAAGTGGTCTGAGAAGTGGATGACACCAAAAGAGGGTTAGAGGTATGGGACTCTAAAGGGGTTTCAGGGATGGAAAGCTCCAAAGCGCTCTCAGAGATGGGGATCTCTAAAGGCGTCTCAGAAACAGATGAATCAGGAAAGGTTTCAGCAGCAAGGGGCTCTAAAAGGGTCTGGGAGATGAAAGGCTCCAATGGTGTTTCAGAGGTAGGGAGCGCCTGTAAGTCTTCATTATCGGAGTCTTTTTTTTTTTTTTTCATTATCGGAGTCTTTTGATGAGGGGTGTTCTTTTGCATCCGTGGTGGTGATGCTATCTTGCTCTTCCGTGATCTCATTTGCTTCCATCTAGTGGTAGAATAGGGTATAGGCTTTATTAGGTTGGGATTGGAGGGGTCTCTACACATTAGGGCAGAGCCCAGGGTTCACAGAAGGTTATGGAATTAGGATAAAGCTTTAGTGTACCTGAAACACAAAAGTTCTGGGTCTCAGAGTATGATACCAGGAGGCTCACTCATGTGGCCAGACCTCGTGTGGCATGTTGCCTTCAGCTGTTAGGGAGCTGGAGCTTAAAGAGAGAAAAGCTGAAGTAGTCCGAGTCTCATGGTAGCAGAGAACCATGCCCCAGAAGGAAGCCCAAACCCAGGTACTTGGTCAGTCCAAGAGTAGGGTCCTAGGCATGCTGGAGGTCAGGCTATGGAGTCCCAGAAATTGGAAATATCAAAATTGGGGTTGGCTCCTGAGTGTGGGAGAATGCCATGATGCACAAGGCAGGACCCTGAGTATAGTCTGGTTTTATCTAGGGACCACATACACTTTCCCTTGACTGTTATTCATTTTCAAGGCTTCACCTACTTCTAGTGGTATACTGCTGGCTCCTAATTCCATATTTCCAGTTCAAACATCTTTTGACCTTTAATTTTGTACTTTAATTTCTAACTAGTGTCCACAGGTTTCAAAACTGAACTCTGGGGTCAGGGATTTAGTGCAGTGGTTCTGCTGCCTGCCTCACAAGCGCAAGGTCCTGAGTTCGATCCCTGGTACCAAACAAACAAACAAACAAACAAAACCAAAACAGAACAACAACAAAAAAACTCCTCAACTCTGGGAACATCTCAGTCTTCTTCTTTTCTCTAGGCTCCCATCTTCTAATAGGTACCAAGAATATATCACTTAAAAGGGCCTTTTTGAACTCATCAGAGACTTTCTAGAGAGGAAGTTTGGTAAGGGAATTAGGATCAAAGGTAGGATAATGGGGCAGAAGGTGGCCTATCTGCTAAATATTCCTAAAATGCATTCTCTCTGCTCCTTTCCTTCCAATTTTGTTCAAGGTCTAATTATCTTCTGCCTAGGTTGTGTAATAACTACCCCTCCACTGCCACCCTCATCATATTAATCGATTCACCCATTCTTTTATTCATTTAAGAAACTTACACTTTCACAAAGAGCCTAATATTGCACTTTTACTCAGGCACTGTGCTCAGCACTGGATTCAGTGGAGTTTGGGAGGGAGACAACTAACAATGACAACACAAATGAGTTGATGTGGTTCAGTAAATGCAGGACGCTATGGGGAAGGAGTATACCTAATTTATCCTGGAAGGATGTCCAAAAGAGTTAGTCCTCCATCTTCACCAGATCAAGTCTTTCCAAAATGCAAACCCAACACTGCCTTCCCTTGCTTAAAATGATTAAGTTCAAATCTCTTGGCTCTTGCATTCAAAGTCTGTCATCATTTGCACCACTAGAGAATTCTTGCCTTAACTGTTTCTTATCTCTAATGTTCCCCCATGCTCCCGAGACACTAATATATCACTTCCTAAATTCATCAAAGCCTTCTCGAACTCATCAGAGCCTTCCAGAGGCAAAGTGTGGTAATGGAATTAGGGTCAAAGATAGGATAATGGGGCAGAAGGTGGCCAGAGTCAGCTAGAGAAAAAAGGTATCTGAGGGTAGAGAACCAGAGGACGGGAGGAGAGGATTGAAAGGAGGGAATTGCGTGAGGGGGAGGGTAAGGATGAAAAGTAGCCACGGGACAGAAAGTATTAGGAGGAGGAATACATTGAAGGTTGAGGGTGGGCACTGGAGAAACTACATACCTCTGGGCTTTGGCTTGGTTGTTAAAAGTCCGTAGGTCAGAAGCTTGAGGGGGAAGTGTTGGTTCCGAGAAGGGAACACTCTTGGTTGTGGCCGAGCTGCAGGTGCTGAAAAGTGAAAGAACTTGCTTGAAACTTTGCTATTTGGGGAGACTTGGGCATCTGCAGACCTTCGCAAAGAACTCTGGCTGACCTGGGGAAGGGCGGTAAGAGGGAGGGACAAGGGAGGTACAGAGCCAATGAGGGAGGGGCTTGACCGAAACCTCTAGGACCTGGGTCTGGAGAAGAGGGTTCGGTCACCAGGGCAACAGGATCGCCCAGTAGTCTCCATGACAACAGCAGTCAGGTCACTTCCCACGTGGGTGAGGTTTCCTGGGGGTCTGCATTGAACCCGATTGGAGGTTTTGAGCGAGTCTCTAGGATGTGCGGATACTGTGGTACGTCCATGAGGAGTCTGGGTTTGTGGGTATCTCTGCAGGGTTCCTGTAGATCTGTGGAGCGTTCTGTAAGGGATGAGAGACTATGAGGGGTCACATAACTCTAGCTGGGGTGAGGAAGGCAACGTCTCTGGGGCTGGGGCGGAGTCTGTCTTTGAAGCCCCGCAGGACTAAGTTAGAAGCCAATAGAATGATAAAGGGGGCGGGCTTTACTGAGGGGGCCCAATCGGACTGCGAGAGGGGCGGAGCGTCATATGACGTAAGGACGGGGCCGCCGCCGCGGGGCCTGGTTATCACCGGTTCAGCGCAGCCCGGAGTCGCCCAGGCCTGAACTCCTACCCAGGTCCCGGACCCCGGCCCCAGGCCCGCGAGGACACCGGAGGTCACCCCCCAGGGGTAGGGAGCGGAGTCACGGGTCAGCTCTGCGAGCGCCCCTCGCTGGCCTGTTCGGCCCCGCCCCCTCCCCGGGCCATGGCCCAGCCCTTGTCCCGGCCCCTTGTCCTATCCCAATCCCAGCCTTGGCCTCCGGCCCCGCCCTCGCCCCACTTCCCAAATCTGCCCCAGCCGGGGCCTGGGTCCCTGCGAATGCCCAGATCCAGCTCCCAATCCAGGCCCCCTCTTCAGTCCAGGTCGTTGGCCTGGCCCCCATCTTCGCCTCAGTCCCTATTCCACCCCCTGTCACAAATCCCAGCTCAGCCTCTGTCCCCACCTCATTCCCAGCTTTTGCTTAAACCCCTGGCCCAACCCCGACTCTGGCTCCATTTCCCATCGCAGATCCTCTTTCCACCACACTCTCTGCCCTTGTTCAAGCCTCAGTGCTCAGCCCAGCCCAACCCATTATCTCAGCCTTTGCCCTCATCTCTGTGTTTGCCCTCAACTCTTCCACTGGGCCCCCGGCTCTCTCAAACTCTGGCCCTCTCCCAGCCTCGACTCAGGTCTGGGCTCCAGCTGCCACCAGCCCTATTGCTGCTGTTGCTGTTCTCTGTCCTTGGCCCAGGGGCTGGTGAGTGCAGAAGCAGGAAAGACTGAGACAAGGATGGGGTTCTGGCAGGGAGGGATGGGCTGGAAAGATTCAGAAGAGGTGGCACCTGGGGAACTCAATCAATGGAGAAGATGTGGGGAGAAAGGAGTAGAGAGATCTTACACAACAGAGGAATTGGCAACATCAAGAGTGGTAAAGGTTATATGTGTGTGTGGGGGGGCGGTGGAGTTGAGGTGGTCAACAGACTCTAGGACAGAGCCTTTATTTTGTTTCCTGGTGTTCATCTTGACCCCACTTGACTCTGGCTTTCTAGGGAAGTTTTGAGGGCTTTGGTCTTTCTGTTCTTAAAGTTTGCTGGTGAAACATAGGCCCACACCAGAAGCATAAACCTTTGAGAGATTGGGCAATGCGTTCAAACAGGGTTAAGAAAATAGTTTGAAGATAACATGTAGCAAACAGATGGATATAGAATAGTTGTCAAATTATAATGACTTTTCTTCTTGTAGTAAGTCTTTTTTCCAAACAGGCTTGATTTGCCTATGAATAATTCCTGATACTTTTAAATCAGGGCTGAACCTCAAAGGCCATTTTACAGATGGGGAAATTGTGGTTCACTGAGGGAGCAATTTGTTTAAGGTTAAACCACGTATAAATGGTAGTGCTGGGACTAGAAAAATGGTTTCCTAACTCCTAACTACCCCCTCCCCTGCCCCCCCAGTTACACATAGTAGAAAACCAGACTTAAGTGGGGAAAGGCCCAAAGCCATTTCTTTTCTCTCCAGTCACCCATAGGGAGCTTCATCTACAAACTGTTTCTCCCTTTCCAGAGGTCACCAACCAGTCCAGAAAGTCACTTGGCTAGGAGTAGGAGAAGCCCAACTCCTTAGTGGGTGAAATGAGGGTGAAGGGCAGGGTGTGTGTCAAACTGATGACCTCATCATCCAATGACTGTGGTCTTCATAGCTCAGCCTCTGGCCTCCTCTGCTGGGCAGCAGTCTAGATAGGATGGAGGTGTGCCTTGCTGAGTTGTTGGCAGTAAGGGCTAATAAAGCAACTGGGGTTGGGCTGGGTTTCATTGAGCTCAGTGGGCCTGGTTCATTGTAAAAACTCAATAAGATCAGTGGTCATAGGCTCTACAGAGATGTCTGGGTGCTTTGCCAGTGTGTTAACTGAAAGACCCATGGGAATGCTGGCTTGTGCAGTGTGTGCAGGTGCTTGTGTGTTGGTAAGTGTTAAGTATACGCACATGTGTGCTGTGTGGGGTGCATGTGAGCTGATGTGTTCCCTGAGTGCCGATGCTGATTGTATGCTGTATTCAGAAGTGGATAGTTCCTATGTTGAAGGCAGTGTTGGGTGCCTCTCCCTGAATATAGAAGTAATCCATCCATCTCTAGCTGATCTCCCAAAGGGAAGAAACCGTAGAATGAGGGGACGCTTAGTGTTGATTATTGCTGCTGACAAACTGGGCACTCAGGAGAGGCAGTAGCCAGTCAGGTTGTCAGTTTTGGTGAGGAGAATCCATACTGATTAGGCCAATACATAGCTTCTATCTGAACCACTGTGGTGGCTTCTTTATTCATGAGCCCATTGAACAAACACTGGCCTGACAAGAGGAGAAGGGTGAGCAATAGTCAGAGTATACAGACCTGAAAGTTATGGATAAAGACAGTTGATCAGAAGCAGGTTTGGTGTGTTGGAGAGAATTATAATGAAATTGGAAAAGAGCAGTATATAGGCCCAACTGCAGGCAGGGTTGCCCTTAGTACTGTTAATCAGTGCCTTGGCACTGACTGGCATCCTGTGTGGTGCACAGGGTGCTCTGTGACCTAATGGTGGTGATGGATTTTACCTGAGGAATAGCAGGCAGTGTCATAGGACCATCATGGCATAGGATTGCACAAATCTTTAATGTTGGCTTCAGTCTCGTTTTAGGAATATAAATCTCTTCCTGGGTTTTCTGGTCCTATCTTTGATCTGTGGGTTTAGCTGATTATGATTGATAACCCTTGGATGCATTGCCATTCCAAGAAATGATTTTTTGTTCCGTCTAGTGCTATCAGGAACACTGCCAGCCTCTCTCAGTCTCTGTGGATCTGTCTGTGTGTATGTGTTTTGTATGGTGGTGGTGAACCACATAGCTTCATTATAGAAATAATTAGGACATCATGGCAGATTCATCTGAGCTTGGCTAGGACCTTGCTTATTCTTCCTGTGGACGTAGCTCTGGTAGGCCCTGTTCAAACCCTAAATCAAAGCTTGGAGTAAGTGGGCTATGGATCCTTTCTCAAGCATCTGCTCCCAGAACATTCCTCCCAGCATTCCCAGCTGATTCTCACTCTTCCGTCACCAGCCTATTCTGTATCTTTGTAGACCCTGCCACTTTGGGGATAGTTTAACTAGTTCCCCAATTCTTTAGGCCATGACATGGTTCTTTGAATCTCAGTGATCTTGTGCTTGTCTATCTGTGTTTTCCAATGGTCATTAGCTGTTGTTCATATTAGCTCTCTGAGGATCTCTACTGAGATACTGACCAACATGTCTCCTAACAATAGCCATGGCTGATGAGATCAGGTACCAGTTTTGAGGAGGAGCAATTCTTCCTTATGGCCAGCAGAGGGTGCTCCAGAACTCATTTCTTAAAACAATGATACCTGGGTTGATTCAGCTCTTGACATTTAGCTTCCTATTTGTCCAGGCAGGGCTCCTGGAGAATGCATCTTCCCCATCAGCTGGTCCTATTGTCCCTCATCCGTCATAGTACTGTTGCTGTACTGATCCTCTCTGGGTTCCCGAGCAGTGCTCAGCTTGAAAGTTAGCAGGTCTTCTCTGCTGACAGTTGAAACTGATCATATGGTTGGAACCAGAAAGATTAGTCAGTCCGTGGATGCACCCACATCCTTTGAGGAAAAGCACAGGCCAGTATAGGCCCAGTGGCCTCTACCTATATATGGCAGCTCTGTGGAGCATGACTTGAAGTTACCCCAGTTTAGTAGGGCCAACCTCAACCAGTGTTGCCTCCTTCAGTAAGTCATCCTTTTCCAGACGTCTCTGTTATTTCAAACACTTACTTTTTGGGGTTATGTCTACCATCTTCAGAGAGGGAGATCATCAGACTAGGTAAGCCCTGTGGGTATTTTTTGCTTGGCTGAAAACTCCCCTCCGAAGTCTCCCCCTCTCCATGTCCCTACGCTGTCCTGAAGATACTTGAGTTTTCTCTCACCTGCCTGAAGGCATGTTCCTGGGTTTCTCTGGGGACTGGTCTGAAATTTCCAAGTAGTCAGAGTCCTCAGGGGTTTACTCCAGAGAACCTTGCCTGCCCTCTTGGGCCCACTTCCTATCCTGCTGAGCTAGTTACTAGATTACTCTAACACCAACAGTCCCAGTTCCCATGTGTTTGCCTGACTAGTGCATACCTTTGCTGTTCACCTCCAGTCTTCCACTTTGGCCTGTTCCAAACATTCCCAAGTGGTTTGAGAGTCTACTGGGTTCCAAATGACTGCCTCACTGGGCCTCCCTCTGCAGAAATGCCTCTCAATGCTCATTCTGACCGTACAGGTTCTGATGACTCTTTTCCTGGGCACTCTTGTGGTGACCTGATAGCTCCTGTTCTTGCCTCTGCCACCCAAGCAGGCCCCTTGCAGCCTTACCACACCTTCCCCTCCCCTCTCCTACATCGAGCCAGTATACAGAAAGCTCTTGTGAAGTTTCTGAGGTTTTCGATGCTTCTAACCACCAGGGAATAGAAAGAGGCAGAAAATAAACAAGTTACAGAGTTCCATGCTGACTCCCAAGCCCCACAGGTGGAGTTCTATCCTGCTCAGTGGCTTAAGAGTCCATGCCAACACACACACACACACACCCTTCCACATGTCTATTTTGTTACGCTTGGTAAGAGAAGAGCAATGGCTCCTAAATGAGGGGGCAGCTGGAGGTCATATAAAGAGTCATGATTCTGAATCCTCTGTTCAGTTTAGGTTTGAGCCTCAGTTTCCTTACCTGTATAATAATAATAATAATAATAATAATTATTATTATTTTTTTGTACCGGTGATCAAACTTGGGTCCTTGTGCTTGCGCAGCAGGAGGTGGAACCACTGAGCTAAATCTCCGGCCCAATTATTATTATTTTTTAAACAAAGTCTCTCTAAAGGCTAAACCAGATGTTGGCTAGGGCAGCAGGAACCCAGTTCCTGGTTGGGAGGAGAGTGTTTGTGGAGTTGGTACTATTTGTGAAGGAGACTGGTATGCCTGTTGCCTAATGGAAATGCCCTCTTTCTTATCCTGTCCTTCTTTTCTCTTGCTTTCCAGCAGGCCTTTTCCTGACTGATTACTCTACCTGCTCACCCCGCAAGCTGAGCCCTTTCTGCTCCTTTGCCAGCACAGAGCTCTTTCACTTCCATGTTCCAGAGGACACATTCCTGGCTGTGTGGAACCTCATCATCTTCAAGGAGCAGGGGGGAACCTTTGGAGACCACTGCCCAGACCAAAGTGTGACTGTGTGAGTGTCTAAGTTATCCCTTGATCCCTACTTCCAACTCCAGGTCACTTTCTAAATTAAATTGTGACTTATAAATATCTAAGATGACTTCCTGACCCTAACCTTGACCCTTATCCAGATTGGAGTGTGATTGAATGGGGGCCGTGACTTATGTCACCTGACCTCTTCCTGACTACTGTTGTATAGCTGCAAGTGTCTGAACTGACCTTTTATTCCTTATCTCCTGACCCCTGACCCCTGACCTAGAACCACTTTGTTATATATGTCACTATAGGGAATCCACTTATTTTGTTTGTTTGTGTTTTGGTACCAGGGATCAAACTCAGGACCTTGCACTTGCAAGGCAGGCATGGAGCCACTGAGCTAAATCCCTGGCCCTGCAAATCCACTTATTTTACTGGTGATAAGTAACTGTTCTCCTTTCTTTTCCCCATTTTGTGCCTCTCACCTTACTGGCTGCTTTTCTTCTCTCCTAATTCTGGTCCTATAGGTATTTCCGGTCTGGGGCACCTCCTGTCATCAATCCACTGCACACACACTTCCCGGGGGACACAGCTGTGCCTGGGGTTTTCTCACTGACCCTCAGTTGGACACTGCCTAATCGTACCTCAGGCATCTTTAATGTCAGCAGCCCCTTGCCAGGAGACTGGTTCTTGGCTGCTCACCTTCCTCAGGCTCACGGCCACATCTCTGTCAAGGTGGGTTGATGTTGCCAGGGTAGGAAGGGTCAGAGCTGCCTCTACAACTTTGCTGAATTCCCCCCACAGACTATTTGGCACACCAACCTTATGCCAGGATAGGGATAAGGGTGGCTGGTATGGGGCAGGGCTAAAAGCTAGCAGGTCACCTGGTGGGATGGTCTGTAGAAGGCATCCTGGTAGCTTTAGAAGGACATAGTGGTTTCAGTATGCTGAAAGGCAAAGTCCCAAGATTCTGGTCCAGGGGAGTAGCATTCCTTCCTATAGGAAGCCACTAGGGTTAATCAAGGTCATTAGAAGCTAACCAGGGTCTGTTCGAATCTTCTACACAAACCCCATACTGGTCTTGTTCTATATTTTGTTGATAATATCCCTGAACTCTTAGTTCACAGCCCAGTCTCTGTTCCATTCCTCTTCCTTCATTGTTTTAGATAGTTCTCCTCACCCCATGATAAATCATAAGAGAAGCACTTTCCTGTTAAAAGGAGGCTTTGGGCAGCTGGTGTCCATCCTGACTGTTGCCTCCCTTTCCTCTAAATCACAGCACTAATTCACAAAGTAGAGTTATTAAAGTCCAAAGGGCAGGTTCAAAGGTCAGGATGCTTCTCTGGTTTGGAGGGAAAGGAAATTCCACAGTGTATTCTTGCCATTCTTGTGTCTAGACAGACTGGGCTTCCTCTTTGTAGTGAGAGGAGCTGTGGGTTTCCTATTCTTGTTCATCCAAGGAGAAGGAGTGTAAGATGAACTGGCCATTGTCAGAGTGAGGTGGCTATGTGTGTGGGGCCTGTAGTAAGAGTGAGGGACCAAGGATAAGCAGAGCAAGGATTTAAAGAATCATGCATCATAGAGGAAGGGAGCTAGTGAAGTTTGGTCATTGAGAATTGAGAGGAACAGAAATTCTCAAACAGGTGAAGATTTGATTCTGTTATCTCTCTCCAGGTTCAGTTCCTTGAGGGCAGGGACTCTGCAACTGTTAGATTCACTTCTCTTGCTGCTGAAGCACAGGGTTCAGAGTAGGTGTTAAAATGCCTTTGACTGAGGTATGATTTGCACAGGGACAAATGCATCGGCCCTGCTGTTGGCAGGGATGTGAAACTAGGGCGGAGGTAGCTTCTGGAAGACTCAGTGATAGGCCTGTTTTTCCTGAGAGTGATGTACAAGAGGGCCTGGGAGCCTTCTGATCAGATCATGCTGGGAGCTCATCTGGAAAAAGGTCTAGGTTGAGGCCAGGAATTTAGCTCAAGTGCAAGGTCCTCAGTTTGATCCCCAGTATGGGGAGGGGGGTGGGGAAAGGGTCTAGGCTTTAGATGGACCTTGGCTCACATCAGAACTAAGAGCTTTTCTACTAGGAAGAATGTCTTCATAGGTCGTAGGTCTTTGGCTAAATCTCAAAGAGCCTGCCTCTGATTCTGATTCTGATCCTTGACTCACTTTGTGAGAACTGACAGGGAGAATTCTTTAGCAGGTTGTATCCCACAACCTTTCTAGGTGAGCAGGAGGAACCTGGGGTCTGCTCCTGGATTAGGATTATGGGAGTGGTCAGGGTTGCTTATAGTTGGCCAGATTGGGGACAATGGATAGCAGTACAAAGAAAGGCTGAACAGAATCTAAAGCCTGATTCAAAGTGCTACACCAAAGGGAGCTGGACAGTGAGAGAAGATCAGGCCTGACATGCCCTTTTGCATGTAGATATAGCAAGTGGGGCCTGGGAAATTTAATAGTGGAATTGGAGCCCTACACCAAAGAGCGCCCAGGGGTGAGGCTAGGGAGAAGAGGGCACAGTTCTACTTGTCCATGATGGCAGCAGGTCTGGACACCATGAAGATACATTGCTTCAGCCAGACCTGTTCTAGAAGTTGGCGAGGCAAGGATCTTGTATATGGTCCTTCTAAGAATTTGATTACCTCCTGGAATTTTCTATGGGGCCTTAAAGATTCATAAGCCTTCCAGACCTGGCCAGCTTCCCATGTTCAAGTGTGTGGGTTCATTGTCCAGAGCATTCCTCCATCTTCTCAATTTGAATTTTTTTTCTTCACCATAGTTATTTTGATTTCCTATGAGCCTTGACAGATACAGTTATGTGATTTTAGGGACAGCCTGGATGGGCCCTGAAGAGTCCCAGCAATAAGAAGGCAGGGTCCTTTCACAACTTTGGAGTAGGCTCAGATCTGCCTTTATTTCTTAGTCTTTTAGCACTTTGTGCTAGGCTTTAGTTTGGGGCTGGGAACACTGAGGTAAATAAGATGTATACTGGTGAGATACAGGAAATGTGTTAAGAGGACAAAGGAGAGATGGCTAACTCAGCTTGTAGTAGACTGGAGGTGATATCTGGAAACTGTTAGGAAGTGAGGCCTGAGGGTAAAGATACAGGGAAAGGCATTTCAGGTGGTGGAGCCAAAGCTCAGAAGGGAGAATTGAAGTGGGTCAGTGTGGGCTAGGTGTTGGGGTAAGTGGAGGCCAGATCATGAAAGGTGTAGAAGTTTAAACTGTATCCTGAGTGTGATAGGGTGCCTGGAGAATGTGAAGAGGAAGGTGACTTATTTGGTCTAAGCAGTTCTTCTGAGCTCCAGTCCCACATACTGCTAGATTCTGTGTCTGTGTTATTCACTATATATTCCTAGTACCCTACACAGACCTGGCACATGGTTTGTTGCCCTTCTGTCACCTTCTCAAACTTAGGTCCCAAACTGATATCATTTCTCCTTCTTCACTTGTCCTCTTCTTTCTATCCACTCCCCCCACCCCCCCGCATCTTCTTGGCTTTTCTGTCTTGGAGTATGTGTTTATTCTAAGGTATACAGTTGCCAGCCTTCTCTGAGCAGCTGGGCTTTGGTGTGTGGGTATCAGTGAACACACAGCTGACATAAGGAGAAAGTTCTCCTAAATGGCCAGGTACAAGTTCTCCTCCAAGACTTTCTCTTCTCAGCTCTAAGGTTTGAAAGTGAGTAAAAGCAGGTAAAATAATGAAAACAACTAGAAGGAAAACAAAGAAGCAGATTATACAGAAGAAAGGATTTTATTAAATCCAGCAACTAGGACTCAATATTTATGTCTCAACTGAAGTGGTTAAAATCTGCTAACAGTGCCTCTTCTGTTTTTCTTCCTCCTCCTATGTTATTTTATTTATATTTCAAATAGGTAATATATGCACCTGACTCAGCATTTGAAAAGTACAAAAGGCATAAAGCGAAAAGTAAGTCTTCCTCTTCTCTTCTCCTTCTAGTTCCCAATTCCTCTCCTCAGAGTTAACTAGGAGCTAGTTGTTAACTACTTCCTTAAATTACCTTTTTGTTCCTGAAATACTTTCTTCTCTTGGCTATTGTGACTTCACAGCATTGTCCTGATTCTCCTGTCAATTTCCCACTTCTTTTCTGTCTCCTTTCCTGGCTTATCTTCTGCTTGATCTATATATGTGTTGGGACCTGATGCTTGGTCCTGGAACAATTCCTTTTTATTTTTCCATTCTCTTGCTTAGTGTCTGTAGCACAATTATTTAAAAATATTATCTATGAGTTAATGCCTTCTAAGAATAGTCAGCCAGTCCTAATTTCTTTGAATATCAGACTTTATATCCAGCTGCTTGACATTTCAGTTGGTTATCTGAGAAATGTCTCAAGCTTAGTATGTACAAATCATAGTTAAAAACAAAAAAAACTCTTTGATTCTCATTTCACTTTTTCCAGTCTAAGCCTCTTTTTCTTTCTTGTTATCTTTTTCTCAGTAAACAACATTGTCTTTCACCAATTGCTGAAGCACAAATTTAGGTGTCATTCTTGATTCCATTTCCCCTTTATTTTCCCACAATCCATAAAGAGTCTTTTTTAAACTTTAATTAATTTTATTGGTACATTTAAGGTATACAATATAATGACATTCATCATTGGAAATTTGCACCTTTACATAATCCATCTTGGTTTTTATTTTT